ATAATAATAATAATAATAATAATAATAATAATAATAATAATAATAATAATAATAATACTTCGTTGTATTTGTAGTTTTTCGTAGTTTGTATATGTTTTGGATCTGTTTGTTGTCCTGTTAAAATGGTACAGCCCATGCGGCTTCGTTGCTATGGAGAGCAGTTCCACAGGAGCGCGAGCCGAACCATCCTGAAAGAGAGAGAAGGCACGAGCGAGGAGAAAGGAGGACATACTGAAAGTGCCGAATCGCACAGACACACGGAGAAACCATGGAGACTAGACCCACGAACCGGAGGACAGTACCTAATAACGGAATGCGACTTTTAACGTCCTTTTTCATCCTGTGCGGAGCTGTCGGTGAGTTAACGGTTTCTCTGCTTGTTTTCGCTCGAGCTACTTTTCTTGGTAGCGGAGAGAAGTTGCAGTGGCGCTGCTCTCGGTCCATTCTTTACTTTGAATCGGCACAGCTGAACTGACCAACACTGCACTGATTAACATTTCATACCGTGTTATACTCTTTCAGGCTCCTGGTAGTTGTATGTGTTAGTTAACTATAAAATAGGACCAGTCGTCGTCTCCTGACGGCCACTGTTTGAGAGCGACAGAAAGTCACCGCAGGCATCCGTTGACCGTTAGCTAAACCTTGATTCTTCATCCATTTGAATGCCACTCCGGTACCATCTCTGTAAAACGGTGTTAATCTCGGAGCGGCTGCATACTAAATACGACCCACCTCAAGCAAGATCTAAATGAGTTCGAGTGACAACTTTTATCCGCTAACTCTGATTTAACAGTTACTTGTAGCTAACATCATGCGGGGAATCTGAGGGAAATACCGGCTGGGATTTCTCCCACTCAGATGGCTTTGGAGCCCATTGAGCAGCAGCAGCACCAGCACAGTTTTTTTTTCTTTTCTTTTTGCGGTTGGACAAAAATAGAAACGACACGAAATAATCTGGGCGTCACTTATGGTAGGCAAAGAGGGTTTGCTCCTGATGTGAAAAGTTTGCCAAGATGTTGGTTGCAGATGGGGACGGGGGTGGATAAAGAGACGTTATGTGATACAGAAAAAGAGGGGATGCAGCGCCGACTCCTCTGTGTGGCAGGGTGGAGGGGTGGTGGGGTTGAGGGGGAGGGAAGACTTATTTTAAGGCAGAGCCACTGCTGCAGCCGCAAAGTCTCTGGAAGTATTGACCTGAAGTTGGGCTGCCTGCCAGCCAGAGCACCTTCCCATCCCGAGCTGTCCCGGGCAGAGCAGCTGGAGAACTTTGCTGTGTCCCACCCTTGAGCTGGGATTACAGGACACGGCGGAACAGGGGACAAACACAGGCGGCTGCTGAGTAAATACCACCTTACAGTGCACTGCCGGATTCATCAATGAATCCAAGGGCAGGGGAAAAAAAAAAAGAGAATAGAGATAAATGCCAGCAAACCTGTGAAATAGGGAGTAGTTTTCCTGCATGCCTTGCTTGATTGTTTACTCACTAACTGAATTAATTCAGAGTATATGGCACTAAACACAACAGATATTTCAAATCACTTTTACAAACAGGCATAGTTTGTTTGACAGAAACCCCAAAAAGTTGCTATTATTTACAGTCCCAGAATTTTTAGCGCAGATTTCCATATCTGCATAAATAATCTGTTTTGGCGCAAATGGTGGAAAAGAAACCATCAGCTCACTAAATAACTCTGCTTGGTGAATCGTTGCTTTCGTTTTCTCATGTTGTCTTGCCAGAAAATCTGCAAAATTTAGCTTGTAATTAGAGCTGGGTTGAAATCATGAACCCCCTCTCCCCCTCCGAGGAAATCTTCTGACATTAGTCAAAACTGTTCATATAATGACTACTTTTTTCTAACCAACCCCATTTCTGTATCTCTCTCTCCCTCGCTCTCTGTCTCTCTCTATATCTCACACAGACACACACTCTCCAGACACGTTTTTTTGCAGGATCTTCTTCATACCGTTCTTTTTCTGTCTGTACCCACGAAAGACGCCGTCATAAATCAACGTGGAGAGCTGATAAACAACACACTGTTGCAATCTCAGCCGATCAGCATCCAAACACGCTGCTCGCTCGGTGCCTCGTGGATGCAGGCATAGTCACCTTCATGGTCAAGTTTGTTAAAAACCGAGCTATCCAGCTATAGTGGAAAAAAAAAAAAAACTGTAATAGGTTTTGCTTGCTGGAAATGCGAGTTTGAAAGGGAATTTTGGTGACAGAGGCGCTGCTTGACTTTCTGGTTCGGAGGAGATGGAGCTGTGAGGAGGGGATTCGTCTGAGGCGTAGCTACAGACTGTGAGGTCTGTAATTGAAGAGCAACGTCGTGTGGTTTCTTCTTCAGGGGCCGCGTGATTCACAATATAAATAAATAATGGAGTAATGGAGCCACCGAAATTACAGAGTCAGAAATAGATTTGGAAAAAAAAGAGGAATTACTGACAGAGTAGATATGATCCCTGGAGAGGTTAATAGCATCATCACCACATGGCGCAGGGCACCTGAGGTCAGGACCTTTTGTTTGACACGATAGTCCCATAACTTAATACAGATAATCACCTTCTGGCTTGTCTGGCTATTGTAGTGTTAATGCTGAGATGCCATTTGTACCTTAAATCTACTTTGAGTAATAGTCTGTTTTAAGCAATAGTATACGTAGGGAAAATGATCTGCTTCTACACGCTGGTTGTTTGTTGTTACAATTATTCACAGAAAGGGATTTTAAAGTACACTGTAAAATATTGGAATTTGGTTTAACTTGAAAGTGAAAGTTCACTTGTTGCCTTGAAAAGGCAAATAAAGTCAACTACTCAGAAATATTTAGTTTGAACAGAACTTAAGCATTTTGAGAAAACATTATCCTCAACCACTGCAAATTGATAGTTTTAACATGAATAGGGCAGTATTATGTAAAATAAACTTAATTGAGCTTTACATCATATTATGATGTTATTCCCTCAATAAAAGCATAACTGGAGTGATGCCTTGATTCCTTCATACATGCTTGAGAAATTCTCTAATCTCCTGTGGCAACCATTCAGCTGTTCAAAACGCATTGGTGGACCTAGCTCCGCCTACGAGGCACATCTCCTCCTTGGAATTTTAACCTCACAGGTCAGCTTTCCCTGGTGACTCCCCTACTCAGCTCCTTCAGACTAGCCAATAGCAATTAGCAAACACCTGGTGGAACTGCACATTGCTGAGCTCATAACAACAAGCTGCTTCTCAGTGGTACGCTGGCAGAAACGTTAAAGGATTAGTAGAGTTGTGATGACAACTGTTGTGATGACTTACCAGAAACAAAATGCAACGGTTACAAGAGCAGGAACTTTTAAAGAGACAGAGGCCCAATTTCAAGGCTATAAAGTCAAATTTCTTTTAAGTCATATTTGATGTAGCATTTTTATAACAACTGAAGGTAACATAGCTGCTTGATTCTACTATGAATGTTTTTATGGGCCTGGGAAACACATAATGCTGGCCCTTTAAAAACTTACATGACGTAGGTCAAAGTTGCAAGCTTCCATCTCATTCACGGTGCAGCACAACAAACAAAAACTTACCGCTAAGCACCCTGGGAAATAGTCTACACTTCTGCCTTTTTCTTATTTCAGTTTTTTAAGTGCTAACTTAAAACCGCTAGATTACTTAACTCTTGATATGGCAAAATTAATAACAAGTTAACACAACTTACTTACTGTAAGTTTATCTTCCACAAACCTCACATATTTAAGATAAAAATCTAAAAATTGCAAGATTTATTTGGCTCAAAGAGCAGAAGTTAGTGGACAAATGAATGTTTTAGAGTGTAAGTTTGAACGCACAGCTGTCCCGCCCATCTTGATCCTTCTAATTTGATCCTAAAACTCGGTTTGTGCTGCGGCTGATTGAATGGTCTTAATCACTTAAACGCAGGCAGGGTTTTATCTGCCAGGAGCAGATGAGTGGGGGGCTTTGTTGTGGGGACATTGAATTTTTTTGTGTGGGGTTCAGGGAGCAGGCTGTGGTCACCAGCTTCTGTTGACTCCACCCTTTGCTTCCTTTTTCCACGACAGATGTGACTGACTGTCAGACGTTGGGAACTCCCTGGTGGTCCATTAATGAAATTGGAGCTAAAAACTCCAGAGTTTAGCTCACTCTATCAGTTCTTGATCAAGATTGTGTTCATTAAAATATTTTAAGCAGTGGTTTCCTTTGATATTTTGATCCTCTATGTATACATTACTGTAGCCTGGGCTCTGATGATGCTACGTATTCAGATTTATTCTTGTATGAACATTTAAGTGGGGTTAGGGGTCAGTTTTGGGATGCTAAATGTGGTGGATATCCATCAGTCATGGAGTGAATGTAAATTGTTTGCATAAACATTTCAACATGAGGACATGCAGCATTGATAGATGTATTATTATAAATCCAACATCAACTACAAAGTCCTAATTTTGTTTAGTTTATCTACAAGAAAATAAAAAAAATCATTCATCATGCCTCAGTAATCAGCTGTATACTGAAACAGATTTTGCAAGCCTGGCTTAATATTAGGGTAAGGACTTTAATATCTTAGTTTTGATTAATTAACATTTTAACATGCCCAGATTTTAATGCAACTAATCGCATTTTTGTTCCAGACAAAACTTTTATATTCACATGTTTTGAGTACACAAGCGACATACTTCAAATTTGTAGTGCAATAATCAAATTTTCTTTTTTTTTCTTTTTTTTACATACAAAAGTCCTAAGTTGGAACCTTTGCATTGTGTTTCTGGTACGCCCGCAAGTCTCATGCACAAGTGGCATCAGCAGACAATAGTGATGGACAACAAAGCCACTTTCCTTGGCCCATTTTTGCTTCAAAAACAACTTGATGGGACGCTGGAAAAGACTGTTGTGTTGAAGTTGTGCTAAAAGGAGCTAGCCTATCAGCGAAGCTATTCAAGCCTAAAATAGCATCTCAATTTTAAACATGTAGCAGCTGTACCGACTTCCCTATAGCTGGATTTTCTTTATGGGTATCAGACTTAAAGGGACTGAAAACAAATTTATGGTACACCTTTCAGATTTTCACTTGTAAAAATTGTTGAGCATAATATGGGTTCCTTTGACTTCACAATTACGTCCTTTACTTTTGTCTATCGAATCCACAAACATCACACAATCACACAAACAAACAAATCCCACAAACAAAATGGTTGCAAAGTTGCAAATGTAAAAAAAAACAACAAAAAAAACAGAAGGGGTTTGAATACTTTTACAAGGTGCCTAAAGTATATTCAAAAAACCCAAGCAAATGTTAGGGGGAGTGGTTCCTTATTTTTATTTGATTTTGTCTACTTTTATCTACAATAGAGGCCACACCCT